CTGTCGGACGGGTATGAAGCTGCAGACTTAGTCGCTGCAAGCGGAACCAGTAAAAACAATGGAAAATTTGAGCAAAAAAAGAAAAAAGAAATAGATTTGCAGCAATTGATGGGCAGCATTTTTTTTTATTTTTTATTTTCTTGTTACCAGGAGTTTGGCTACAAGCGAGAACAAGCAACATAGATGTTCTAATGGGTATGGACAAGGGCTAAGAAAATGGACAGGAATTGAAAAATAACAGAATATTTGGTCAAGCAGCGATTTTAATTTTATGTTAATTAATGCTATAAGCACTATAAATAAATAGTACTAAATGTATGGTATAAATAACGAAAACTTAAAGAAACAAATTTCAATTATCATTAGTAAACAAATATTTTTATTTTATCATTATATCAACGCTCTTAAATCAACAAATTCACTTACAACTCAGCCTATTGCGCACCACTGTGCGGCAAAAACAATGCGCCGCAAAGAAAAAATGCTCTCTCGAGCAGCAACAACAACAAAGGGCCCCTGGCCAGCAGACGAATCTGAAGACAAGAAAAAGGACGAAAAATACGCAAAAAAATGCATGACGGAACTGGACAGACGCAACGTCGTCCATTGGAGCAGGAGCAGCGAAGGTAGTGCGCGAGACGGAAAGAGAAACTACTTGGACCAGTGGGAGGGCTGAGAATGAAAGTGTACGATGAGTCCAAGCTCGCGCTCATGCTCGCACTCACACTCAAACCACTCTCACAGGCAGCTGTAAATGTGTGTGTATGGAGCAGCTGGCCCATTGTTGGCGGACACTCGCACATATATTTTTATAAGTGTGCGTGTGTGTGCGTGTGAAGCATTTTTTCTTTGCACTTCACTCAATTTCAATTTTTTCTTTTATTTTGCCTCCTTTTCGCTCAGCAGCGATTGTCCTGTACTGCTGTTTCCTTCGAAAAGTTCAAAGTGGCAAGCCAAAGCGCGCTCTCACTCACACACATACACATATATACACTGAGACACTTTGGCGACGTGCTGTGGGCAAAAAAAATACTCAGAGAGCAAGCAGAGCAGAAGAAAAAAAAAACGAAACGAATTCTGCACAGAAAATAAAAATTGTTTGCAAGAAAGAATGAAAGAAAAAATCGGAAAAAATGCAAGCCAAGTGGTTGCTGGGCGCAAAGGGAGGGTGGTAGAGAGTGAATGGGAAGGAAGGTAGCAGCATGCTGGCTGTTGGGTGTGCCCGCTATGTCTCCAACGCCAACCCCCCTATTAACTGGGTTGCTGCCATAGCCGTCGCCGTCGCCGCCGACCGCTGCTTTCGCTGCTGTTGCTGGTGCTGCTGCGGCTGCCGTCGACGTCTGCTGTTGCTGTTCTGCTGCGCCCGTGTGTGTCAGTTTCAGCTGCTCACATAGTTGGCCGAAGATAAAGGTGACGTTGATGGCACCGGGGGGAAGCAATGCAATGCAATGGGGCCAACCAGGCGCAGGGTAGGGTAGGATAGGATGGGATAGGATAGGGTGCTGGCGATGGGAAGACCCTCAAGTGTTGGCATGCAAAAAATAAAAAAATAAAGAATGAAAGAAAGAGAAAAAACAATAAATATAGCCAAGCACATGGCGGCGCTGTTGTCGCGGCATATGCATGCATGTGTGACACAAATACATATACATATATTCACACACACACAAAGATTAATACATATGCTCAAGCACATGTAGCTGTGTAAATGTATGTAACGACTTTATGTCTGCTGCGTATACACATACATACATATATATTTGTCTCGCAGTTAATCATCTACATGCGTTCAATGAGTGTGAGGAAGAAAGAGCGAGCCATTCGCTAAAAGCATTCCACACAGTGCCCAGCATAATTAACGCTTAGCAAAAATCGAATCTAAGCTCTAGGCGAAAAAACAGCAACGATGGAAAAAAAAAAGTAAACCAAGTGGCAACACTGCCAGCGCTGTGTATGAAAGAGCTAGCAATAACCTATATGAAACATACATACACACACACTCACACAGATACAAAGTCCAGTTTGAGGTCCAGTCGCATTCAGCAGCCATACAACATTTTTCAAGGCGATGCAGACGCGCCAAAAAAAAGGGGGCCACCATGCAAAATCACACAAAAACAAAAGCAGCAACAACAACAGCAGCAGCARCGTCAAAATACGACGCACCAGGCGCTGGGCAAGACGAGGCGACGTCAACGTTGACGTCCACAAAGCTTCACATACAAAGCGACGCCATTGAAGTTGCGGTCGACGACGACGGCGAAGTCGCAACGCACAACGGCAAAAACATTCAAAAGTACAAGGGCAACTACAACAACAACAGCAACAACAAGAACRGCAACGAGACAGAAAATAAAAATGGGCGAAAAAGTTTTATACATAAAAGTGGTGGCCAAGCGCGGCAGGAGAGAGGCAGCAGAGCCACAGCACGAAACTCCAAGAACATGTGCAGAAACAACGGCGACGACGATGACGACGAAAGAGATACAAACAAACACAAGCTGTAGTATAGCTGTGTGTAGTTGCCACCTTTTTCTCCGCTCATTGGTAATTTGTGCAAGGAGGCGACAAAGGCAGAGGAAGAGGCAGCGCCGACGGCGGCAGCGAGGGTCTCACACAAATGGCCGGCAAACTTTTGCAGCGAAAATAAAAATGGAGCGCACGTTTGTGACAAAAACAAAAAGCAAAAGCAAAACCAAAACTTGCAGYATGAATGGGAAGTTGTTGCCGTCGTCGTCGTCGCAGTCGTTGGCTGCCCGCCGTCTGAAGCCAGCGCCGCGCGCTCTTCGGACACCGTCTATGTGTGTGTGTGCGCGAGAGTGAGAGGGTGGGCCACCGTTTGAGTGTTGCGTCAGCTTGAGTTTGAGCGTTTTTTATTTTGCTTTCTCTGTGTGTGTTGCTGTTGTTGCTGGCCAACGACTCAAGCCGGCATCACGTTTGCATTGAGTGAGAGCGTTAATACGATGAGCCCGTTCGCCAGGAGCCACAGCTCTGGCACATTAATGCCAGCCACCAGTGTAGCCAAAAGGTTGCTGTCTTGGCTAAACACAAATGGTTGCTGCGTAAATAAGTTAATGCGTTAAGTGCTGGATAATTCGTTAAGTTGCGTGAAATTTGTTTTTTTAAAGGTAAATATTTTCAATATAATTTAAATGAATTAACTGTGTTAAACCAATTTTACCTGTTATAAACAATCTGAACAATTATAAACATATACTTTTCAAGTTTAAATTTAAATTGAATTATTAATTATTAATTTAAACTTTGCTAAGTTCACAATATGGAAAGCAATAAAACCAATAATAAAAAAATAATATTTGCAATACTCGTTGCGAACAGAGAACTGCATAAATAATCAATATTAATTAAAAGCTGCTCACATTCTTTATCAAAGGCAACAATAACGGGAACAACAACAGCAATCAACGGTTAATGAAGCGCACAAATAACAATTACAATGGCGTTCGTCAAATGCAAAGCAGCGCAGGGACAGAGAAAGAGAGCGAGATACAGGGAGAGCGAGAGGCAGGCGCAGCAGGAGAACTGACAAAAACCGGCGAGATAACGAATTCAAGCAATAATTGTGGGTGTATTTTGTGTGCGAGGGAGATAGAGAAAGAAAGAGAGAGAGAGAAAGTATGTGTATGTGTGTGGCTATGTTGCTGATCAATTTAAAAAGAGATAAATACACTCACACATACACATACAACTGCTGCTGTTGTATTTGTTGTCCTCAATCAGTTTGTGCAGAGCCAAAGGTGCGGAATGTCCATGTGAATGGCTTATACAAATAGTCAGCGCATATACATACATATATACAAATACATATCTATATAAATCTATTCAAGATAAAAGGCCGTCGTAGCAAATGCGTGTCAAAGGTGCGGCTGCTGCATTTGCCACAGGCTTTTCACTCGGAAAAGCAGCCATAGAAAACTGTGTACAAAGCAATTACAGCGAGTACACCTAGAGAAATGGGTAGTGACTACAATGGGAATACATATTAAACTAATAACTGATTGATAACTTGAAATACACTGCAAACAATAATTTAGCATAATACAGCAGATTCACAATATCTAAAGAGAGTTGTATAATTTGGCAAATACTCTGAGAGAAATCCTCAGACTAATATAAAAATTTTTAGCTAAGTTATATAAAAATATAAATAAATTTGTTTGGCAATAATAAGTTTTTGTTTGTCATTAAATGCTTATCAAGAAATACACTGACAGAATAAATATGCATGTTGCATGGTAATATCTATGAGCTCATATCAGGAAGGCTTTCAATCTAATCAATCCATCAATCATCAAATGACTTTTAGTATCACAACCTTAACACTACTATCTTATATTTGAAATTTATAATATATAATTTCCCAACATTCCCGTATTAAAACAATCTATTTAAGATAAACGCTTTACGCATAAAGTTCAAAGTACCATAAAAAAATTTTTGATAGCAATATGAAATCTATTTTGAATTATCAGCGCTTATCATTAATATGTTTATAGGTCCACATATATGCATATATATATGTATATACATATGGGTTTATTGAGGGTACATAAAAACTTGTCTATATAATCTATTTATAACTAATCTAAAACAAATGTGTAGTAAATTATATATAAATATATAAAGAGAGGTATATCAATAGATATACATACATATATCTAAGCAATACCTTTTATATATCGACATTCTTATTAATAACACAATAAATAATTTTAGCTTTCTCTAGAATTTTCACACAACAAATTTCTTGCAGGGTATTTCACAGTCTATCATCCTTTACCTATAGCTAATTCCCATATGGATTTTCAATTATAGACAATTGGCAATTAAAACCTTGTTCAAGGACCTATTTTATAGAATTCTATAGATTCATAATTGGTCCGTGGGAAATTGCGTCCACTTTTACTTAAGCCGCTTGGGCAATTACATATTCAATTATTTAGGGTGCTGCCCGGGAAGGGGGAGACAGGCGCACTCACCTGTAAGTCCGATTCGGTAACATCGATTTCGCCGCGATAAACAAAATCGATAATTGTCTTTAGGTCTGTGAATATGATGTCGGCGGGTAATATAATCGTTGGATGCTTGCACGGATTCTCGAGCAGCAGCTTTTGGAAATACGTTGAGCAGGCGGATAAGACGACCTAAAAGTAAATGCATTATTATCGATAATTAATCCATTGATTTATCGATGAATTCTATCAATTGCTTACCTTGTGGGCCTTAAGCGAGCCATGCTCACAGGACAAGGTCACATCGACGAAGGAGAGATCCTCGCGCAGCTGCTGAAACACTGACGTCATCGTGTTCTGATAGTTATTCCAACGCAGACTAAAGTACTGATGTCCCCGCACGGCGGCCATTTTGTATGTATGAGCAAGTGTTGCTCTCTTAACTTTCAATTGCAGTTATTTATTGTTAACGTCCCTCTCTCTCTCTCGCTCGCTCTGCCCCTCTAGCAGGCACGTCTTCACTTTCGCTGAGGCTCAGTCTGCCAAAAGCTCAGTGCTACGAAAACGTTGACGACGACGACGACGACGCTGGCGCAGACGTTGGCGTTGCCGTCCTGCTGTTGGCAGCGCTGTAATAACAATGCAAGTACAAATGCCGTTAGTTGTTGAATATTGAATAGTTTTAAAATAGATTTGCGCCTGCGCAGACAGCGCCTAGAGCAAATTGCAATTATTTTGCATTTGCTTTGCGCATAATTAAGACACATTTATCAATTATTCACACGGCAAAGCTGATCAATAAACGCACAATACCCAACAACAAGCGAGTGCTACGGTTGTTTCTTTTTGTTTTTGGCTCAGCTTCTATACCAAACGCAATGCAACGCAAGTTGCGACTGAGCCAGCTTTTTGTGGCATAGTCACGGATGCAAAAGGCCGACGCCGCCTGCTGTGGCAAGCCATGTAAAAGGAGTCCATTGTGCGGTGCATTACAACGTCGAGCAACGCGAAGCCCAGCACAACTATGCAAGTCTCCCAAATTAAAAAAAAATAAAACAGGTAGTCGTTGTAAATGCCTTAAGCCTCGACTTGTTACTACCCTGTAAATTTCGAATTTTGTTTCTTTGTACACTATTCTGAATCAGTTTTGATTAAGACTAAAAATGTTGTATATCTGTTAAACAGGAACTATATACATATGTATATTTCTATATATTATATAAATACATAAAGAACTATACAGATATAAAACAATTTATATAGCTACAATTTAAAGATCTTTAACAGCATAACCCTCTCTCCTCATCCCTATCTCCCTCTCTCTCTCTCTGTTTCCCTCTCTCCCTCTCTCTTCATCCCTGGAATACCCCATTTTCAACTACTCCAAACCAATGAGTATCCTTTTTTGTTGTTGTTTTCCTACAACTATTATCCATATACAGTATAGCTTGATTACCAATCCAATTTCATGCTTAACCCTTGGCCAACACCTCGCATTAGGCCTGCTTTTTTCGAATTCCATTAATTTTTTTCAATAAAACTTTCTGCATGCGGCCCATTGTCGTTGCGTGGCTGGCAATTCAGAAAAGTTTTTTAGTTTAGTGCATGAAAATGTAAAATGCGGCGCTGCCTTCTGGCCCAGGCCAAAAGAAAGAAACCCGAAACCAGTTTCAGGCTCCAAGCCCGAAGTTTACACTCTTTCCATTTATTTTTACTTTTAGTTGTTTTTTTTTTTTATTCATTTATTTTTATTTCAATGGCACGTACAACGATGTTGTTGCTGTCTTGCTCCATTGGCATTGTCAAAATAAATAAATAAAAAAAAAAAAAAAATTGAAATAGGAATGCTGAAAAGGATGCTGCTGAAAGGAGTAAAGGCACCCAACAGCAGAAGGTGAGAAGAACGCCGGATTCAGCAACGACTCGAGACCTAGCCATAGACACAACAACAACAACAACGACGACGACAACAATAACAGCAAAGAAGACGGTAACCGCATACAATGCCAACATGGAGCTGCAGCTTTAACGACCGTAACGAAAGCTGCAATTTTAACTTTAGCAAGGATGGTATGCAGCTCAGTAAAGCTACCAAAAATTTAAATAAATAAACAATAATTTTGTGTACAATCTCATTTTTTAATTATTTCTTGTTGAGAATAAGATATTATTTTTAACTCAATTAAAATTTTTTTTTTTATTTAT